CTGCATACAGTGACAGCTGACAGGTCAAGTAACCTGTTTACAGTGACAGCTGACATGTCAAGTAACCTGCATGCAGTGACAGCTGACAGGTCAAGTACCTGCATACAGTGACAGCTGACAGGTAAAATAGCCTGCATACAGTGACAGCTGACAGGTCAAGTAACTTGCATACAGTGACTTTTGCATCTATTGTTGACTGAATTTTGCTGTTACTCAAGATGACTGTATATGTGTATATACATGTAAATGAAGAAATATAAATATAAATTACTTCATATTTTAAGTATTTTTTTCTACACAGGTACCATGCATGTCTTAATTTTTGTAAAATGTAAATAGTTAAATAGTTTTATTTGCACTTGTCCAGGAATGCACCGACACATTATTGGACCAGTTAGATCAAAAACTGAAAATAACTGAAGATGAATGCAAAGATTACAGAGAATTATTAGAGAAGTTGAACCAGTCACAAGATGATTGCAGTGAAGCAGAGTTACTCCGAGAAATAGAGGATGTAAGTAAATATAATCACTGTCCTTGTAGAATTGATGGCTAAATAGTGGTGATAAATCATTGTTGTTGTAATGTTCATGGCTAATCAGTGATGGAAACATTGTAAATACTTTTATTCCAATGAATGTATATAGTAGTTATATCGGTGTTCATTTCTTAATTAGTTTCATAAAGAACAAGTTACACTGACTGGAAAATTAGAAGAAATAGAGGAAGAAAGAAAACAAATTGCTGATGAAATGGAGCAGGAAAAAGAAGAAGTATTGAGACTTCAACAAGAAGAAGAAAGGTAATGAAACTATGACTACACTGAATGATCAAAAGTTTTCCCCCACACTATCTACTTATTGTCCACAGTAGTTACAGGTTGACTAGTACTAGTGCAGTGAGTGTCTGTAGTAGCCTACTTGTTGTCTACTATGGCTTATTAGTTGTCTACTGTAGTCTAGTGGTTGTCTACAGTAGTCAAGTGCTTGTCCTTAGTAGTTTAGTGGTTGTCTACAGTGATCTAGTAGTTGTCTACAGTAGTCTAGTGAGTGTGTACAGTAGCCTCCTGGTTGTCCACAGTAGTCTAGTGGGTGTCCACAGTAGTCTAGTGACTGTGTAAAGTAGTCTAGTAGTTGTCTACAGTTGATTTGTGGTTGTCTTTACTAGTCTAGTGATTGTCTACTATAGCCTACTAGTTGTCTCTGTAGCCTATTGGTTGTCTACAGTAGTCTAGTGGTTGTCCACAGTAGCCTAGTGGTTGTCTACAGTAGATTTGTGGTTGTCTACAATAGTACAGTGGTTGTCTACAGTCGATTTGTGGTTGTCTACAGTAGATTTGTGGTTGTCTACAATAGTACAGTGGTTGTCCACAGTAGCCTAGTGGTTGTCCACAGTAGCCTAGTGGTTGTCTACAATAGATTTGTGGTTGTCTACAATAGTACAGTGGTTGTCTACAGTCGATTTGTGGTTTTCTACAGTAGTCTAGTGGTTGTCTACAGTAGATTTGTGGTTGTCTACAATAGTACAGTGGTTGTCTAGAGTAGCCTAGTGGTTGTCCACAGTAGCCTAGTGGTTGTCCACAGTAGCCTAGTAGTTGTCTACAGTAGCCTAGTAGTTGTCTACAGTAGATTTGTGGTTGTCCACAGTAGCCTAGTGGTTGTCCACAGTAGCCTAGTGGTTGTCTACAGTAGATTTGTGGTTGTCCACAGTAGCCTAGTGGTTGTCCACAGTAGCCTAGTAGTTGTCTACAGTAGCCTAGTTGTTGTCTACAGTAGATTTGTGGTTGTCTACAGTAGCCTAGTAGTTGTCCACAGTAGCCTAGTGGTTGTCTACAGTAGATTTGTGGTTGTCCACAGTAGCCTAGTGGTTGTCCACAGTAGCCTAGTAGTTGTCTACAGTAGATTTGTGGTTGTCTACAGTAGCCTAGTTGTTGTCTACAGTAGATTTGTGGTTGTCTACAGTAGCCTAGTAGTTGTCCACAGTAGCCTAGTAGTTGTCCACAGTAGCCTAGTAGTTGTCTACAGTAGATTTGTGGTTGTCCACAGTAGCCTA